TCCTTCCAAGCTGCTGCCCAGCAGCACAGGGGGTGACAGCTGCAGGATTGCTGGGTCCATGAGCTTGCAGCCCCTTCTGCTCAGGGGATCACTCAGAAATGGGGGCCAAAACTAGGGACAGAGGAATTGCATTTTGCACTGTCGGTGTTTTTTTGGTTGTAGTGTTTGTCCCAAAACACTACAACCAAAAAACACCGACAGTGCAAAATGCAATTCCTCTGTCCCTAGTTTTGGCCCCCATTTCTGAGTGATCCCCTGAGCAGAAGGGGCTGCAAGCTCATGGACCCAGCAATCCTGCAGCTGTCACCCCCTGTGCTGCTGGGCAGCAGCTTGGAAGGATTCGGGCATGAGTCCTGCAGCCTCCAGCCTGGCACAGCTCTTCTCTGGCCATCTGCTTGGGGCACGTCTCATTCTCTTCCCTCCTTGTTGTTTCTGGGGGCAGGTGCGTTTTCCTCCCTGATAACGGCGCTTTTTTTGTCAACTACGTCATCACGTCAAGCCTGATTGGGACAGCCATGGAGCTGCTGCGCATCCCCAGCCTCATCGTCTATGCAACCCGCCTCTGCTTCGCCAAGTCTGAGCCAGAGCGGCTCCACATCAAGCGGGTATGTGGCTCCGCTCCCTGCACCCCCGCACCCACACATTGCCCATCTGCCACATCCCGCCTGGGAACTCAGACCCGCAGATCCTGTCTCCACTGTCCTGGCCAGAAACTCAACTTCTTGTACTCAGGAGGTGGGGCTCTGGTCACAGTGCCTCTGGGGACAGGGCCGTGGTCTAGGGCTGCTCCAGGAGGTGGGACTCTGATTAGGGTGACCAGGTGTCTGGTTTTCGACCGGAACACCCAGTCGTAAAGGGACCCTGGTGGCTCCAGTCAGCACCATCGACCGGGCCGTTAAAAGTCCGTGTGGCGGTGCTGCAGCACTAAGACAGGCTAGTCCCTACCTGTCCTGGCTCCACGCTGTGCCCCGGAAGGAGTCAATAGGGCCGTCTCCTAGGCGGGGAGGGCCACAGGGCTCTGCGCACTGCCCCTGCCCCAAGCACCGGCTCCATACTCCCATTGGCTGGGAACTGCGACCAATGGGAGCTGTGGGGGCAGCGCCTGTGGGCAAGAGCAGCGCGCAGAGCCGCCTGCCACACCTCTGGCTAGGAGCTGGACCTGCTGGCCGCTTCCAGGGCGCAGCGCAGTGCCAGGACAGACAGGAAGCCTGCTTTAGGCACTCTGCTGAGCTGCTGCCAGAGGTAAGCCCATGCCCCAACCCCCTGCCCCAGCCCTGAGCCTCTCCAAACCCGGAGCCGCCTCCTGCACCCCAAGCCCCTCATCCCCAGCCCCACCCCAGAGCCTGCACCCCCAGACAGAGCCCTCAACCCCTTGCACCCCAACCCCCTGCCCCAGCCCAGAGCCCCCTCCCACACCCTGAACCCCTCTGCCCCATCCCCCAGCCTGGAGCCTCCTCCTGCACCCCAAATCCCTCATCCATGGCTCCACCCCAGAGCTCACCCCCCCAGCTAGAACCCTCACCCCCTCCCACACCCCGACACCATGCCCCAGTCCGGAGCCCCCTCCCACACTCTGTATCCCTCATTTCTGGCCCCACCCCAGAGCCTGCACCCCCAGACAGAGCTCCAATCCCCTGCCCCAACCCAGCGAAAGTGAGTGAGGGAAGAGAGAGTGAGCCACCAAGGGAGGGGGAATGTAGTGAGCGGGGGAGCAGGGCCTTGGGGAAGGAGGCGGGGCTAAGGTGTTCGGTTTTGTGCGATTTGAAAGTTGGCAACCCTAGGTCTGGTCCCAGTGCCTCTGGGAACAGGCTCGTGGCTGGAGGCTGCTGCAGGAGGCTTGGCTTTAGTTCCAGTCCCTCTATGGCTGCCAGGGGTAAACTGTGCAGAGATAGCAATCAGTGTAGGTCTGGGAAGGCAGCAGGGCAAGGGAGTACATCGTGTCACTCAGTAGTGACCCCACTGACTGTGTGAAGAGCAGCAGCGCCCGGCTCTGAAGGAGAATCCCTTCCATGGTCAGCAGGCGATGGCTGCGCCATGTTGTCTGGGTGGCTTATAAAGGAAGAAGGGAAGCATAAAGGACTGGGAGTTGCTGCCAGGCCCTGGTAGAGGTGCTGGGGAGCATGGGGCCGGGGGTAAGGCAATTGGCTGAGAGATTTGGGGTCAGTTCCTGGCTCTGCCACAGACTCCCTAGGTGAACTGGGACAAGGCCTGTCATCTCTCGGTGCCTCAGTTCCCATCTGTGGTGTGGGGGCAATACGTACTTTCTCTGCCTTCCATCTGTCCATGTAGGGTACGAGCTCCCTGGGAGAGGAACTGTCTTCACTATGCGTATGTATAGTGCCTAGTGCGAGGGGCCCCGATCTCACCTGAGGCCTCCAGCTAGTGCTGTAACACCCACGATAGCACTAGGCTGGAGGCAGCAGGGTAACTGTGCTGTTGGTTGTGCCTCAGAGCCAAGCCTATGAGTTCCAGTTCGGGCTGGAGTACGCCTGGACCTGCTGCATCTTTGCTGTCGTCATGACCTACAGCATCACCTGCCCCATCATCGTCCCCTTTGGTGAGTGGCTGTGCCAGTCCTGTGAGCTTCCAGCCCGGCCCTCAGCTTCTCTCATCATCTCCTCTGGGCCTGGCCCCGGGGCTGGAAGCAGCCTCGCCCACACCCATGTTCCCAGGAGAGTCTGTTTGCTCCCTTGGGAGGTGAGACGATCATTAGAAGGCAGCTCTGTCTGGTCTCACTGGCCTCCTGCTGAAAGACCACCCGCCCCTCTCCCTCCTCCCCGCCCCCGCCCCCCCACACACTGTCTTGCAGTGACTGGAGAACCAGCCCTGGTACAGAGAAGTGAGCAGGGATCAGCTGCCAAATCCCCAATCACCACTGGCATCAATTCCAGGGACTGTTCTCCTTGACCCAGCCCCTCATCCCTTCTCCGAGCCGTGGTGCTCTCGCCTCACCTCCCTTTGTCCAACAGTGGCACCTGTCCTGACCCTCTTTCATCCTCCTGGCCCAGGTTTGCTCTACATGCTGCTGAAGCACATGGTCGATCGCTACAACATTTACTACGTGTACATCCCCACCAAGCTGAACCAGCGCATCCACTCGGCGGCCGTCAGCCAGGTGGTGGTGGCACCCATCCTCTGCATGTTTTGGCTGCTCTTCTTCTCTGTCCTGCGTCTAGGTAGGGTGGACTCAGGGCAGGGACTCCTCCGGCCTAGACCTTATCTGCATCAGAGCTCACTTCTCCAGGGGACAAGCATCCAGCTAGTGACCATTACCTTCTCATCAGGAACAGGAGGAGGGGGAATGGGGCAGACAGGGAGAAAAGAAATGGGGTAAGGGTAATGTTGGTGAGAGCTCAACTGTACTCACCGTGTGGGGGGAGGGCTCAGCCAGATGGGGGGAGATCATGGCTGGTACTTGTGTGGGGTATTCAGCCAGATGGGGGGAGATTTCGGCTGGTACTTAGGGGGGCCTCAGCCAGAGGTGGCAGAGATTTTGGCTGGTACTCAGAAGCTCTTGTGGCTGGTAGGAAGTGAAGCTGGTGGACTCTGATGCAGACTCCCATGCTGGCTGGCTGTTTTTCTCTGCTCTAGGTCCCATCCGTCCCATCACCCTCTTTACCTTCGTGGTTCTTCTATCCTGCGTCCTCTTCTCTTTTTTTGGCCTGTGTCTGAAGAAGCTGCAGCCAAGGAAGCCCTCCAGCTACCAGGTGAGAGAGGGAAGCAGCCGCTTTGGTTCCAGGACCTGATCCATCGTCTCTTTGTCCTGTGTCTTGCCTCTCAGGGGCCAATATGCACTGAGGTGCCTGAGGATTTAGTTGCGTCTGGAGCATCTCCCCTCTGCCCATTCACCATCACCAGCTTTGGGTGTGTCTGTGCTGCAGTTGCAGTGGCCCAGCTGAAAGTGGCCCTTCTTGTCTCCAGATCATAGGCTCTGGGCCCCACCCTCCTCCCCTGTCAGCGCTCACACCATGGGCAGCCCTAGGAGATGCTGCGTTGTAAGAGGTGCCAGCGCTTTGAGCTCCATTCTGCCACTAAGTGCAAGTTAGAGCTCACTGCCCTTCCCAGCAAACCCCAGTCTCCTGGCAAGCAGCCCCCTGTAATCCAGGCTGTGAGAGCTCAGAGCCGAGGGGCAGCTGCAGCGTCCCCGAGCTGCTGGTGTCCAGCCCATCTCTGTGAGCTGTAAAACGAGCTGTGGGTCTATCTCTGGGCAGGTATCGCTGATGGGCGTGGTCAGCTCAGTTAATCCTAGCTCTCAGTGGCTGCAGACATGATCCCTCCCTCTCCAACCCCATGGGCTCAAAGGGCTGTAGGAGGGTGTATTCCTGGGGTTTGCCCCACCACTTTGGGGAGCTGATCCCTCCCTCTTTCCCTCACTGCTTTGTATTCTCCCGCCATCTGCCTGCAGATGTCCGAGCAGTCAGAAGGGGCCTTCAATGACACGGAAAGAAGCAGCATCTCCTCAACCCCTAACTCAAATGTGAGTATATCCACTCCCCCGCCCGCCGCCCACCCCTCTCCCTGGCCTCACTCACCAGACACCTCGTTTCGGGAGTCAGCTTCATGCAGCGTCAAAACACTCTGATGCAACGAACCACTAATCCCTGAGACCAGGAGCACTGCACTGAGACTCCCACAGCGACCCAGACGTGCCTCTACCCCGGCATGGCCACTCATCTCCTGGTGCGCAGCTCTTGTGAATGGAGGGTAATACACTCACACGCCCCAGCCTCATTGGCCAATCAAATCCCGCCTTTCGTCCAGCCTGGATTCTGAGTGGGACCGGGGTTTCTTTCTGATCCTCGCCTCTAGCCCATTGTCTGCTTTGTGCCCCAGATGTTCGTGGCCACGGTGCTGCAGGAGCCGGAGCTGAGCCTGACGCCGGCTGCCTCCCCAGCTCACCAGTCCTACGGCACAATGGGCAACCGGTTGGAGCCGGTGGAGAACAGCGAGGAGGGCGGCCTGCAGAGCTTTGAGACGGAGCTGGAGACTGTGGAGGGTGAATTCAGAACCGGGCCCGTGCGGGAGGACCAGGTCCATTACCACTGAGCAGCCGCCCACAGCGGCAACACCAGCTGGACAGAAACACCGACATCAAGTATTGAGAACAGGGGGGAACTCCATCTTGTAGGCCCCAAGCTTCCTGAGCTGCCATGTCGACCCTGCCGCCAGCTCTCAGGCTCTGGCGAGGGTCCAGTGCCGCTAACAGGACCAGATGCAACACTGCTGAAGAGCAGCGGCTTTTCTGGCCTGCGAGAGCCCAAGCCCCAATGCTGGGGTGGTGGCCTCCTGCTCATGCACACAGATAATACTGGGGTCTAGGGTGCAGTGGTGGAGACAGAACTGAACAGAGGGAGAGACCCCAGGAGGCCTCCTGCTTCCATCCTGTGCTCCAGCTCTGAGCAGCTGAAGCCGATTGCTAGTGCATCTCATGCTCAGTAGCCTGCCTGCCATCTCCTGGCTTTCCCTTCTCCTGGAGTCAGAGTCAGCCACAGACCTCAGGCACCCCTCTTTGCTTTCCCTACCTTTCCCTCTGGTTCAGCATCCCTTTGGGAAGGAGGGGTGCAGGAGAGTGGGTGGCCCCATTGCGCCAGGGCAGATGTAGCTGTGAACCTTTTTTATCAACGTATTTTGGGAGATTGGGGGGTGGGCACGGGCTTGTTCTCCTGCTGCCAAGGGAAAATGCCCAGAGAGCACCAATGAATGTGTCCAATGCAGAAGCAAAGGCCTGCAGCTCCTTGGTTACCACAGGCGCCAACCAGACTCAAGTGCAGCTGCCAAACCCGTAGCTTTGTGGTGCGCTCACTCGCTGCCCCAAGGAGCAGGGCAGGGGAGTTGCCCTTCAGCTGGGCCCCGGCACCAGGCCTGGGTGTCGTCTGTTCCTTCCCCCCATGTCTGCTTGTGGCTGTGTGTGTGTGTGACTGCTGAATGCTGTCTTTGGGGCTCCTTGCCTTGGTTCAGTGTCAGAGGTGGGGCCCGTCACCTGGCTCCCCATAGCACAGGGTAAGGGAGAAAGAGAGAGGGGGGGCGCCAGGGGGAGCGTGCTGAGGCCAGGATGGAAAAACAAGCAGCAAAAGGAGAGTTGTGTGCCCTGAAGCATTAACTCTTTGTACAGCAGCATGTTCCAGACTGCCGGCTCTTTGGGCATGACCCCCAGAGATGCATGTAGGCTCCAAGGGCTTAATTAAGGAGGCAGCTGGGAGTGGGGGGTGGGGGGGCTCAATACGGGCGGGGGGCTCTATACGTGCAGGGGCTTATGCATGTGATTGAACGAGCTCCTTTGGGGAACCCTTCTGGGAAATCTCTGGGCTGGAAAAACCTCTGCCCCCATCACCTGGATTTGAGAACACGGAGCAGCCTCACGCTGGAAATTCCCAAGATGGCTAACGAAAGCTTGCTGTCACTTCGCTGCTGGATGGTCACTCCCCCCTTTTCCCCCAGCAACTGCTGCTGCTGCTGAATGACCTGCACTGGGCAAAGAGCTAGGGGAAGGCAAGTCAGTGCCAGACTAGTGCCACTGGTAGAGGACTTTTATACTGCCCAGTCTCACCACCTGTCTCAGAAATGCAGCCACCTCGGGCATGGGCTGCTGCAACTGTTTAACAGGTACCCAGCAACACTGCACCAATGCTAATGCCAGCATCCAAAGCATGGTTCTGTCCAATTGCAGCAGTTTATAATCCAGGGTCAGTGACTTCTTATGCCCCCTCACCCCCACCCCAAGCTCATGCTGTTCCCCCAGTGAGACAGGCATCACGCCTTCTGCCATGCATGGAGGAGCCACCTGCCCAAGGCTGAGAGACACAAACCATGCTCAAAATGTTTGGATACTTGTTGGCATGGCAGGCTGCAAGCAAGGGGAGGGGTGTTCGCTGTAGGACCCCACGCCACTTGGCAGGTTGTTGTCACCTTCAAGATCCACCTGTGCAGAGAGTCATAAGCCCATTTGAAGTTGCAGGATGTTCAGCCAGGGGCTCAGTTCAGCTGCAGTTTGTGCCTCAGGGAGGGGTCAGCTAGTGCTTAGTCTTGAGGGAATTCTGCACCAAAAAAATAAACATTTTTGTGCACAATAAAATTTTGCAAAATTCTGCAAATTTTATCTGTCAATAATAAATGTGGCAGCGCCAGCATGGCAGTGGGGCGGACAGGCACTCACCCTGCAACACCGCACCCCCTCCCGAACCCTATCCCTATGACATGGATGCAGTGGTGAGGCTGCTCCAGACCCTCAAGGGCCGGGCCTGCCCCAGAAACACCCTGGGGCTCTGGGGCCCTCTTCCCCAACCCCCGGCACACAAGGTGTGGGCAGGCACGCTCAGCCCAGCAGGTGCCTAGTGTGGGGGGATCCACGTGTGGATTGAGAGGGTTCTGTATGGAGGCAGTATGGGTGCAGGTGGCTCAGTGAGGGATCCGGATGCATGGGGTGGGGTGGAATCTCGATGCACAGGGGCTTGTTTTGAGGCGGAGGGGTTCCAAGTGCAGGGGCAATGGGATGCTGCAGGGGAAGGGCCAGGTGCTGTGAGCTCATCAGCGTGGGCTAGGTACAAGGGGCGGGGGCTCGTCAGGGTGGGGGGTTTGAGTGTGTGTGCGTGTGGGGTGGTCTGGCTGCAGGGGTGGGAGGGGTGGATGGAGGGGTGTTGCAACAGGGTGCAAGGAGGCTCCAGATGCAGGGGGTGAGGCTCGGCAGGCTGAGAGTTCAGGTGTGGGCAGCTTGTTTGGGGGGGGGGGGGTAAGGCTTGCAAGGAGGGGCAGATGCACAGGGGTTAGGCAGACTGGGGAGCAGCACCAAGTACAGTGACCCCCCCCAGTGGCTGAGGCGTGATGGGAGTTGGAAGTTGGGGGGGGGCACAGAGCATCCTGCAGCCAGGGTAGGTTTCTGGGGGTGGGTCTGACCCAGCCTGGGACTAGCAGCTGACCCGGCGGCACTGCTGTGGTGTACGGGCATGCAATGACTTATGGTTTCCCTTTGCTTCCCCGTCAAAAAGTCATTTTTCTGCAGGGAAGCAAAAAAAAAAATTGCCTGGGGACATGAATTCTGCACACACACACTGGCACAGAATTCCCCCAGGAGTATATGAGCACCAAGCCTGGTAGCTACATAGCTGACCATTCACCGAGCTGTGCGGCTGCAGGCTGAATTCAGCCCTGCCAACAACTTGCTCCAAGTTGCGGGTGGGAGGGAGGCAGGCATGCAAGCTGCCCTCTGAACACATTACAGAGTCCTGTCTGTCACCACAGCCAACAAATAAAACCGTGACTTAAAAACAAAGGGTGAGGGAATTAAAAAAAATATTGGCTCCCCTGCTGCTGTCAAAGCAGCCATGATGCCACAACCCTCTTGCAGAAACTGGGCTCTGGGCCCATGGGCAGGGCAGTTACCACTCCCCATTCCCAGAGCTGGTCTGGCTGTGGGGATGATGCTGGTGCACAAATGAGGATCCAAGCAAAAGGGAGTGGGCCTGGTCCCCTTAGTGTGGTTAGAAAGGCCGGGGGGGGGGGAGGCGGTGAAAGGGGCACAGCTCTGTCCCCAGGGTACAGGACACAGGCAGGAGTGGGAGCATTTACTGCTCAGCATCTAAAAAATGTTCTCCAGTGAGCACAAGGTGAGTATAGTAAGCCAGGCAGCCTGTCTGCACCCCTGAGGGTAGTGGGTGGTTGAAGGGCGGGGTGGGGCTCAGCTCCTTAGGGCCGGGCTTCAGCCTCCCACGCACCACTCCTGTGTCACATTAGCCCTCAGTCATGCCCACGGGTGCCAGAGGGAGCATGCTGATGGGTGGTATGGGACATTGGCAGTGAAAAGTCATAGTAGCACTGAGGCCAGGGACAGCAGCTCCCAAGAATGGGACTTGGGATGGCAAATTTGGAAGGGGGGAGTGGAGGGGAATGAGCTCCAAAAGCAGAGATGCTGATGCAATGGATGACCCTCCCATTGTCTGTGTGCACATGGCCACATCACAAACCCCTCCTCGACTCAGTGCCTGGAGCACTGTTGGTATCTCATAGCCCATGATAACCCCCACCCCTAGCAGCCATTCAGCCAAACACTCATCTGTCCCTTTGCATATACACCCCCATCCATTCCCCACCTCATACAGCCCCATGTATACAGTGGTGTCTGCACAGCTCCACCCACCTCACCCCAGCCAGCTACTCCCTGGCCATCACCACCACCCCCATCCAACTGAGCCCCTGTCTACACTCACCCTGTGCTGTCTCCACCCACTGGTTGTTCTGGCCCAGTTCTGTGGGAAGGTGGAGTGCTCCTTATGCTGCTTCTCCTATTGGAGCCAGTTTGATGCTATCAGCACCTGATCAACTAACCTCAACGCCTCTCGCTCTTTTGCTGTTTCTCTGGTATGGAAGCAAAGTGCCTGTGAGTGGCATGGTGTCCTTGAGGAGCTCTGGTTCCTTGTCTGACTTTCCCTTGGCTGTCACACTATAGGAATGTGCCAGAGTTCTGTACCTTTCTTGTTATTTATTGCTATGACCGTGCCTTGAATAAAATGACTTCGCCCAGTCGTTGCCTGCAGTAAATGGCACCTGTTTACACTGCATTACACTCACCTACGCAGCAGGAAAGACAGGGAGGTGTGATGTGAAGGACATTGGCTCTGGGAGAGCCTACACAGGGTTGCTGTTACGATGCATAAACATAACCCAGCCCGTTTTTAAACCCAGAGCTTGCATTTGCTCTCCGGCCTCTCACAGCAGTGAGTGCTCCAGGATACTCACTGCAAGAAGACGTGGCTCCTCCTCCTTGGTTTAATTTACTGCCCTTTAATAGAGATGACAGTCTCAGGAAAACAGCTCCCCTTCCTGGCAGCCTGGCTGGCCCAGTACTGAGGGACACATTCCCGTCCTGTCAAATAAACTGATCCTTCTCGTGGACTCCCACCTGGCTTGCAGACTGGACTGACCCAGCACCTGTTCCCTCAGACTCAGGTTGCAAGGGGTTGGAATGTGATCTCCATAGGAAAGACCTCAACTGGATTAGTTGGGTCCTTCCTGTAATATACTGAACTTCCCAGAATATGGGACAGGGCCAGGTAGAGATCCAATGGGGGTAGAGACTCATCCTGGCAAGCCACCAGAAGAGGAGGCTGCTCACAGTCAATTGTGCAGATGTTCAAAATGAGACCATGTTGCCATTCAGCTCCATGGGGCTCCTGGGGCTTGTGTTAAGCCCCAGGAGCCCTGTGGAACTGAAGGCCCCACTCCCCTTTTTCAGGGGGGCGGTGCATGTGGGGGAGCATTGCTATCTCCCAAATACCACCAAAAAGAACCATCCCCCAACGCCAATTGTGCCAATCTGTGACCCTCCTTCTCTTTTGTTACCCGAGGAAGGACAGTGGTGAATTAAATGGCGACATTTAAATTATCAACACCGGGCAACTAGCTCCTAGATGAGTGGAGCAGTTCCCACCTCTCAAGGCTATTGTTCCAAATTCTCTGCAGACTCACCTCCACTTTGGGGCCCCTCCATTCACATTTTTTGAAGTTTTTAATCACAATCAGAGCAGCTAGAGACTTTCTTTTCATGACAGCTGAGGGTCTGGAGACCACTACAGCAGCTTCAGAGAGGTACCAGTGATGTATATGGGCACATCCCAGCTGGTTCCAAACCCTGGCGTGGAAGTACCTTGCTACGGGCTCCACAGATCTGCTGTGCTGCTCCAGCCAGAGGGGAGGAAAGTTCCCTACTTTGCCTGATCTTCTACCACTATGTCAAACTGGAAGCACTCCCTGTGCACACTTTCCCACACTCTTCGGGAGAGGTGGTGACTGGGCATTCCGGGAGACAGAGGAACCAGGTTGAAGTAAAAACATTTTTGGCGAGGGAGCCGATGGGTGAGAAGGGCCATGGTGAAAAAGATGTGCCTGGGGAGTGGGGTGGGGAAATGGACAGACTAGGGGAGGAGGAGAGCCAGAACAAGGCGTATAGAATAGTGCCAGATGCGACAGCTAGGCACAGTCACATTTCCCTTCAGAGCAGGGCTGCAGGGAAGATCTGCTGCCCAATCTGCCACCCATGCAGATTCAGCCTGGAACCTGGAGCCCGGCACAGCCGCAGCTGCAGTTAGCAAAAGGCTGAAGGCAGCAGCCTAACTGGATGCAAAGGAAAACCTTAGGTAATGCAGCCTGCAGTGGGCTCCATGTAAATACTGGGTCATGTAAACTGGCTTGAGAGCCAGCCTCTGCCCTCTGCTGGCTGGAACCAGCCTTGCTCCCATACCTGTGTGGGTACACTTGTGTGCGCTCCCTTCCCCACGCTATCTTGCTTCTCAGCCTGCACCTCCTTCTCCGCCAGAGCCACCTCCTCCACTCACCAACTGCTCATCTGCCTGCGATCCAGCAGCAACAGCAGGCACCACAGCATTGCCTGCTGGGAGAGCAGTTTTCCCGCAGGGCTGCAGGAGGCGAGGGGGCTGCATGAGCGTCACACCAGGGGCCTGATGTTAGGTGTACAGGCCCCTACACCACTGCTTTTGAAATGACAGTAGAGGAGTGAAAATTAAGCCCCCACCACCACCAGCACGTAGAGGAGTCAAAATAGCCTGAGAGGCTTTAATACATTTATCTCCCTTCAGGCTCTCCTGGCCAGGCAGCCTTTCCCCTTTAACGGCTCTCCCATTCAGACACAGCTTGGAGCAGAGTGTTGAATGTGGCAGGCAAAGGGTTTTCTTGCTTCTCGCCTTTCCACCCCATCTTATGTAGTAAGAGCCCTCCTGTGCCCCAAAGCACTGACTGTGCACAGGGCCCAGCACACAGGGGCCTCTAGCTGCTGCTGCAGCACTATTCATGCTAATGCTCATCCAACACCGCTCTCCTTGGGACTCCTCGCCACGCTCCGGGCAGTGGGAAGGGGTTACCCAGTGAGCTGTGTGCTGCTGCAGGCAGCCATCTGCCCAGGCAGGCTCACGGTACTGTTGCCATGGAAATCAGAGCTCCTGCTTCTCCTGTCATCCTGATTTTAATAAAAAGCAGGCAGGATAGAGACAAATTACCCTGAGCCTCCAGCAATGGGGAGCAGCTTTGACTCGAGAACCAGGCTGTACAGACCTGGGGGGGGTGGAACTCCAGTGACTTTATACACAGCAGCTGTGCATCTAGCCCGTAAAGTTGTTAGTGCCCCACTCTGCCCATTGCATGGGCATTCTCAGGAGCAAAGCTCGTGAAGGAGGGAGGCTAGTGGCGCTCACAACCATCAGGATACAGGCAGATATGCCAAACCCACAGAAAAAATGCAGAAATTGGGCTTAGTTTTGGCTTAAGTGGCTTGTGAGTTGCTTGTTGGGTAGTTTTTGGCTTGTAGCTTGGTTGGCTTGTAGCTTATTGATTCTTTTTTTAAAATCGGATCCCGGCAAGGGGGGGCAAGCAGAGGCAAGGGGGGAGAGAGTCAGGGGTGAACAATGGGCCCATCAGTCCCAGACTGCACACCAGGGGGATCTAGTCAAATGGAGTGTTGGGGTTCTTAGGGATTGGCTTGTTTTGACCTTGTTTTGAAATAGGATTAGCTTGATTTTTGGCTTATTGTGGAAGTCGGAGTGCTTATTTACCACGTGAAAGTTGGCAACTCTGAATACAGGTAGAGTGCATGGCCAGCCCTGAAGTGGGTGTAGGGAAAGAGGTCTGGCGCACCAGACAGGAGACAGATCTGGCCTGGGGGGGAAGTTTGGGGGCAAGGGGGTAACTGTGGTACAGAAGGTCATATGAGAAGGTGCATATAGGGCAAGGAAAGCCTGGTGGTAGTGTGAGGATCTGATGCAAGTGACCCCATCCCCATGAGAAAGTACATGTGGCTTTGGGGAAGGTTTTCAGGGATGACAGATAGGACATGAGTGACAGGTGGGGACAGGTAGAATCAGGAATTGTTTGGGCAGGTGAGGTAGTGGATATTATGAGAATGAAGCTCTTGGGGTTCCCCTGCCAAAAGAAAAACGGATGCGGGAAGGAGAGGTCACCAGACTGAACTGTGGTGCAAACCACAAGTGGGGAGCATGGAAGTTGGTGACAGTCCCTGACTGCCTCATCCCTCCCCAGGGATTGTGGGGAGAGGAAATAAGAAATTAACAAAGCTCTTGCGGTTGCTGTGGAGTCACTCTCATTACAAGTTAGTTAACACTGGCTCCCTCGGATGATTTTACAGCCCAGTCCCGTTCCTCTCCCACCCCCCATGAACTGTAGGTCCTACTTAAACAAAATAATTGCTGTTATTTAAGTGTTTCATCACAGAATGGACAATTTCTGGGGGGGGGGGGGACAGACAGACCCCAGGAGAAAGGTCTTTCCCCCCAGTCTTCTTCCATTTAAAGGTTAGCATTAAAGATTTAGCATAGGTGTTGAGGCCTAGAGCAGGAGCAAGAGCCCTCTCTGCACAGTGTTTGTAATCACAACCTCTCGGCTGATAGCTCTCACTTCCCTCTCTCCGAGCAAAACAGGCAGCTCAACAAGGGTCATCCGACACTAACACGATTGTTTAGGGCACTGTTATTCTGCACTTCAGAGCACTCAGAGAAACCACTCCACTGATTACAGTCATTTGCGTGTGAAACCCTCACGGCTGGGGCTGAAAAATTACATAATGCAGCCTGATGCAAATGACATAGCCAAGGCTTGGCCGTGGGGGGCATAGCAGAATAGGGTAGAAAGCCCCTTTGGCTAGAGCATCAGTGTGACTGGTGGCCTAGAAAATGCTGCTATGATAAAGGGTTAATCCGACAGGAAAGGCATAACACCCTCAAGACTGCCAGCGTGTGCTACAGAGATGACACTTCTCTAGTCTAGGACACATGAGCTGTTTTGCTGCACTCTCCAATCCTGAACACTCCTTTAGCCTGTCTCCAAAGTGCATATAGAGTGGTCAAAGCACGAGGTTAGAAGCCTGCAGGCCTGGGTTTGCTTTAAGACATCCATGTCTCGGTTTCCCCCATAATCAAGTGGGTATAATACCTGTAGAATCTACCTAGATCTCAGGCATGATGCAAGCCCTAAGAGGTGACTTGTAAAGGGGAAAAAAAGCCTTTTTAGCCTTTAGCTTAGGTACAATATAGAAGGGAGATGGGGCAAAACCACAGTATTCCTTAACCCAAAACAACATAGCTAGCGTGAATATTTTGCATAGTAGGTGCTTCCAGCAGGGCTATCCCACTGCTTCAGTTAGCAATGGTTCAGTTCCCCAGCATAGACACAGCTGACAGCAACTTGAGAATTAGCGCAATGGCATGATCACGGAAGTGAGAGAAGATGAACAAATTGAGAGGGGAAGGGATTACTGGTCTACTGCTCAGAACATTTTGATCCCATTAGGGGCTATTTAACATCACCGGTTAACGAGCCATTAGTAGAAAGGACGTTTTTGTTAAAGATTCAACAGCCTGCGTGCCCCTTCCAATAAGAGACATGGGAAAAAGTTCCCAATAGACATCTGAGGCCACCGAGCAGTCCTCCAGCAAAGCCAGGCAAGGCCAGACTTGACATTCGCACTATCTCCAAGATTCACACAGAAATAAAACAAAACCCTCCCTCGCCCACTCCTCTTTTTCAACCTTTCCGGTCTTTTATGTTGAAATCATAAATAAGCCAAAAAGGCAGAGACTCATTTTTAAAAAAGTCCTTTGCAGGTCACCTTGTATCAGTCCCTGGCAGGTGTGATTTAATACTAGCATTGTTGCTATACAACTGTCTATTAACACAGTCCAGACAGGGCTAGGAGGCATACACAAACAGCTGCTTTATTTCTCTTAGGAATTACACAAAACATGGCAGAGAGCAGGTGAGCTTGAGGGACTATGAAAGCTGGTCAGGGGGTCGTTCATACCCACACACATCTATTCATCACACGCAGCTGCCCACCCAGCCACAGCACGCACAAACAAGTCTTTGACCTCATAGGTTTACAGCAGCAGAGAAGGTATTGGATATGCACTGATCACCTTTCAAAACTCCACAGGGGAGCACCTAACTCTCCCTTCCTGGGATATACAGGCACAGCCAGCACTGGTCTCCTGGATCCAGGGCCAGCTTCCCCCTCCCTAACTAGCCAGGAGTTGCAGGTTAGAGGAGAGCTACCACATCCACCCAGCTTGGCTTACATAGAGAGAGAGTAGTAAGGGGGAAGATCTGGTGCCGTAGTCAGAGCCTGCAGAAGAGGGAAAGAAGAGTGGAGCCCAAAAACCTATAAGGAGAGAAGAGGAGGATCCCTCTGGATAAAAGGAAGCTGCAGCCATCAGAGATGCAGTGAACTCAGTGAGCATTTCATATCCAGGACACCCATACTAGCCTCCCTAGAATATGCAACTGAGGATTCTCTAACTGGCCGACTGGCACAGAGCTGCTCCAAAACCACAGACGTGAGCTCTTGTTACAAGGTGAGGGTCACGAGGGCACTGGGTAGCAGTTACATTAACATAACAGTGAGTCGTACCTACTCCGTGCTCGGATGAGAGATCTGCATGGAAAATCCAGGTCCTGTAGGAAGCAGTGCTGGACGTTCAGTAGGATGTGCTCTTCCCTCAGTCTGTACCAACACCCCAAACAGGGTGCGCTGTACTTCTGGAGGAGCAATGTCTCAGATAAGACATACAACCGAGTTCCTAGCCACATGGGGTCATTTAAAATCCCATGGGACACTTTTCACAGGAGTCAGGATCTTATTCCGGGGGTTCAGGTCAAATTCCAATTAAAGCAATTATTCTACCTCCTGAACATTCCTCCCATATTTTCAATTGGATATTGGTTCTTACTCAATTCCTGTCCTAAAGTGGGGCACAGCATTGTTGTATGCTGTTAATCAGGTGTCTTATTCCACCCCAGGAGTGGCTGCATTTCAGTGATGGGTAGGAGTTCTCCCTAAGGGCCCAGGAAGCTATAAATATGTAAATGATCAGTAAATGGGAAGAATTCCAGCTATATTCTCTTTGGCCAAGAACCAGGATGATTTTTGGAAGCTGCTCCCAGGAGAAAGCTGCATCTGTCACTTTAATTCTAATACAAAGTCTGTATTTGTACTTACTTTATGTAATTGACTTTAGGGGAAGACATTTTAAAAAGCACTGATAGCTGCTGCATTTCAGCTGGCTTTCAGGTTAAATCAGCCAGCCAACTCACTCCAAATGCAGCCAGCTAGCAGCTCAGACCTGGTAAGAGCCGCCTTACACTGGGATTAACCCAGTTCCACCTTCAAAAAGCTACACTGCTCAGCCTCTCCCTAGGAAATACACACAGCTGTGATTAACCTTACATGAGGAAGGGCCTGGGATCTATTCTAGGGCAAATGCAGAGGGAATAAAGAGCAAGGATTAACCAACCTGCAATGACTCCAGGAGAATATTTAGGTGGAGAGACAAACTTATTGGAATTTGAGGGAAGGCAGCTTCAGTTTGTGACAAGCTCATTCCATCTCTGTGTGCTGAGCCCAGCTCTACCCTGCCCCCTGGAAGTGGATGCAAGGGCTCATTGTAATTAAGGGGGGATCGTCGTCAGAGGCAGAGATGTGGGTAATATCAAAGCAAGACAGAGAGGGCTACCGAGATGGCCCTGGAATAGGTGTGGTTGGAAAGGAGAGTCAATGCTCTCCTCGGAGCTGCTGCTGGGTTAGGAACAGGAAAGCCAGAGCCCAAACTTGCTAGGTCTATTCCCCCTCTTTACGTGCATCCCAGCCACTGCTCATGGCTTTCACCACGGAACCATACAGCCTGGTCCAAGCCTCTCGTACGTCCGGGCTGAAGGCAGTACCGAGGCATTTCTCCAGCATGAACAGCAAGGACTCTCCCACTGCCTGCAAACCAAACAGAGGCACCAGGATCAGAGGTCAGAAGCCTCAGGACAGCCATGATGTCAGTTTTTTACCTGCTGAATTTATTCATCTCCTTTGTGAGCCTTTCCTGTTGTATTGCCCAGAACAGGACAACACAGCTTCTCTAGCTCCTACCCAATAGGTGCCCCATCACCACTCCTGCTTCCTCCCCATCTCTCTAATCCTTCTACAATTTTCCAAAATGTCTCCAAGCCGCCCGCCCACCTCTTCTTGTGGGCTGATTCACGCCCTGCTGACTTCCCTTGCTCCACACTGCTTTGTACCCACTCCCCTCATGCTCTCAATTGATCTCCCTCATAGCTCCCTTTCTGAAGGAAGCACAATCCAGTGCTGAATAAAACTTTTCAGCAGAAAGGAGTGGGGGTGAGACTCTAGGCAAGAAGAAGAACAGGAGGACCTGTGGCACCTTAGAGACTAACAAATTTATTAGAGCATAAGCTTTCGTGGACTACAGCCAAGGTTATTAATCTACTTTAGCTCCCAGTTGCAGGAAGTCTGCACTCTTCCCTAGTTTAGCACCGGGGAGGCTGGTGATGACATTTGAAAGTAGGTAGGCAAAACTGAGGCATACTCAGAAGCTATTTACAGCAGCAGGTAAAGATCAGAGTGTATCAGACTAAACTGGATAGTCAGAGCCCATCCTACCCTGGGAAGTCTCCACTACATGGTACACTATCCCAAACCCAACCCTCTTTACTGACATGGCAGTCCAGGTGACTCCGTATAAATAGCTGATCTGACATGGAATAAACACACTGGCTCCCCACAGAACCTCCCTCATCCAGGCTGCTAGAAACAAACCCCAGAGCGGGATAATTATCCACCAAGTAATGGGAATTCTAGCTCAGTCTGCCAAGGACTATTGCTAGTGGCACAAGACATCACACTCTGAGAGGTAAAGGAATGAAGCCTATGCATCGTCAAGTTAACATGCCTGATGCTTTCCATAATCGCAATTCATTTATCTAGTGTTTCTGCTCCTGCTCATTGGTAGGATGGGGGGGAAGCTGGGGTCTGAAATGAGGGATAGGGGTAGCCTCACTACCTGGAAGAGGGAGGGAAGGTGAGAGCTGGGGCAACTGATCACACATCTGGCAATGTCCTGGGCTGAGGTTCAGTAATCCTGTGCCAGGCAAATGCAGCCTGAGATATAGCTGCATTCCCTTGCAAATGGCACCCCAAGACTCTGCCCATCGAGCTTAGGATGTGGGGCAGAAAGAGCAGGGAATACAACTCAAGCTAGCACAAGTCCACCTAAAGAGCAAACATGTGGGATTGCTCCCCCTGAGCACGCCAACGGTCACCTTGTAGGTGCTTCAGATTCTGGGACTGAGTTGGGCTGCCAGTTTTCTTGCCCAGCAACAGAGTTAAATAACCCAGCAACATATGTGCAGAAGTCCTAGAACCCAGCTTCATGGCACAATGAGGAAATCATACACTGCCATTCATGGTGGATCAGGATGGCACCATGGGTGAAGCTGGGAGAATGCTGTGGCAGAAGTAGCATGAAGAGAGAAGATGCCTCACCGAGAAAGAATCCACCTTCACACCAACTGTCTGGTGTTTCTTGCCCAAGTTGGAGAGATATTCTTCCAGAGAGGACAAGTTCTCCAGGTGGGTCACAGCAGCATCTATCACCAGCATCACCTGCAGGGGAAATCCAGAGAGGATAGAATTAGCAGAGAACATCTGCTGGGAACAAAATTTCCAAACAGCCTTCTCATCATCATTCTTAGCCTGCTGTACAGTGAAGGCCTGTTCTGCTCCATTATGCTAAAGAGCTTGGTCAGAACTTCACGAAGCCTGATGAAAACCTGTATTCTGTTGAAAAACAGTGTTTTCCACAGCCCTCCCCACCTGCGTACGTCATCTCCTTCTTCTGGCAAAGGCAAACTCAAGGGCCACTCACCTTATGTGGCTGTTATCCTACCAGATCTCACAAGCTAAGCAGGACAGCAGATGGTATGGCAAGTGGTGTTGGTGATTCAATACGGGGCCCTCTTCTCTCTGTGACACTGTGATGCTGGAAATGTAGCTTGTTGGATGAGAACTGAAGCGGAGGATGTGACCACAAGTGACCATTACAGCTCCCATGACCCTTTTGGCAAGCGTTGGTCAAATTCCAACCTGGATAATTACATTCTGCCTCCCTAATTTTTCCTTTCAGTTTCAGTAGAATATGGAATTTTTCTTCATTTCCTGTCACAAACCATCGTGTAGCACTGTAGTGTGTCACTAAATAGCTGCAGCGTTCCACCCCTGAGGTGACTGTATTTCAGCACTGAATGAAGGGCTTCCGCTATGCTGCATTAAACACACCAGGATCCTCCAAGATGATATATAGATATTTTATTTCCCCATCTCTATCCTCCATGTCTGAGGATGAGGTGAATGTGTATAACACTGTCCCTCATGATGGGTCCTATGATAGGTAACTTAAGGGGCTGTGGACTCTTGCTGTTGCTGCAGCAAGAGAACCTTCAGGAGGAGATCGCTGGTGACGCCTGCCCTTTAGTTACAGCAGGAACTTTGCCCATGGCCTCTCTCTCTAGATAGGGTTTTGTATCATGCTATCACTGCAATATCTAAGTGCTTGGACTGTCCCTGTTCTGTGTGTAGGTAACTAGAGAACCTTCAGTCTCTACTGTGGTCAGTCCTTCATCATCTAAGCAGCACGAAATTCACATGCAATAAGAACCCAGTCCTTTGATTTTCATTGAATCAATAACTGCGGTGAGAGCGTAAGGACACATGGCACCCAGCCCTCATTGCTGTACACATGGGGATTTGCCCCTGGCAGAACTTCACTAATGTCTCTGTATTTCAGGGAGTGAGTTGCCTGACATTTCATGGCAAATGGACGTAAGAGAGACCTGCCCTCCAGTGCAGAGTTTGCTACTCAGGGCTTCTCCCGTTCAGGGAATTTTCTCTATACTGTGCATCACTGATCACATCGGCCTCTTCATCCCTTACCTTCCTAATGTGATCCAGGAACTCGGGCGATGAGAGGCACTCCTGAGGGCTGGAGAACTTTTTGCAATTGTACTGGAAGAGGGGCAACAAGTCAGGGTCCAGATCAAACAACCTGCAACAGAAAGAGAAACCCCAGACTTTTCACACTCCTCATAAAGTGACTCCACCTTCACCAAGAGGATGACCCCTCCCTACCGATCCATCCAACAGCCTCCACCAGCACCACCCAAAGGGTGACCTGACTTCACCACCAATCATGTGAAAAGCATAGAGTTCTGAAAGGAAGATTAATAATTTGGGACAGTTCAGGTCATCTCTGGCTACAAAAAGCCTCTGTTACTCTAGCCCAAATCCCCATTCCTCACTGGTAGGTTTATGGCTCCCTAGCATTAACTCCAAGCCATTGCTGGAATTCATCCTTAGCCTGACCCTGTCTTGGCTGAAATCCTTATTTGTGCCTGTTTGCCATCTCAACTTTTGCAATTCCCCATTTTATAAGTGTCCTGAATCCCAACTCGACCAACTTCAGGAAGGTCCAGAATGCTGCAGCCGGATACCCTAGTGAGCAGGGTCATATAAACCCCTAGCTCGCAGACCATCACTGGCTTCCTATTTAGGCTCCTTCCACCAACTTTTTCAGCTTAGAGTCCCTGTATAACTCGCATACTGGTGAAATGAACAAGAGGTCAGGAAGATGCAATGGATCAATGCCATTCCTGGGACTCTGTTGTCTGGCAATTCACACAGACATACACACAATGGCCAATTTGCTTTCTCCCTAATCTCCTACAATCAACCTCATCTGAGATATTTACATTCAGCTGCAACATCCGCCCCCCTTTCACAAAACTTTTAAACATCCCCTTAGATAGCTTCTCTCTTCAGTTCTGTTGGGCCGTGGTTTTTTCCCAGATGCAACACTCCATTCTGCACAGGCTGTGAAGAAGTTGGGAGCTCGTCACGAACTTTTTAGATCCATAATTTTAAAGGACTTTTCAGGTATTTTTCTATCTCCTTCCATTCTGCTAGTCCCTACTTTAGGGGCTCATTTGCTTGGAAGAGGCAGCGAGTTGGATTTTCAGCTGCTCTCTCCCATGCACCTTTTCCTCTGTGCTGGGATTGAACCTGGAATTAGTTGATCCTCTCCCCAGTGGCCAGGTCTCTGTCTGTGTCTGAAGACTGCAGTGTCACAAACAATTAGGAAGCCACTTAGATACACTCCACAGAGTTGAGCATATACACAAGGAATGAGCAGCTCTTTAAACAACAGAAATATCTTTTCTGCTAACAAATGAGGGATATTATTGCAAAGGCACAAAAAATACACAGTCTTCTACCCCATATACTCTCCCTGTTCTCCTTTTAACAAACTTCTAGATTTAAATGCAAACAAGCTTCTTCATAATCCTGTTCTCTCCAGGGTGCAAATCACAACAAATGGACAGAAGGAGCAATGAGATGAAGCCAGAAAAAAATAAATCATTGCCAAGGAGAAGAAAGTGTTTCTGATCAGGGATTGGAAAGCTTCCACTGCTTAATTCAGGGATGGTGGTCAGGGAGAGAGGATGGTTAAGAAACAGGCTAGCAAGTGCCACAGGTGCTTACTCCATATCTGGATGAGTTACCCTGCTATAGATGCCTCCTGTTGCTATAACAGCCTGTTACTCACCTGGTAAACAAGACGATGCCATGCTGCAGGAGGTTGCTACTCACTTTCTGCCAGCTCTCCCGGATCAGCGCCTGTTGTGTGCTGGATAATCTTCCACTCTCCATTTTATTGTAGAAAGAGGGAGGTTAAGAACAGAGCCAGGCAAACCTTACGTTTCTTCTGAAAGTAACTGCACTACTTACTCTGCCCTCTGAGTTACAGGTGGCACTGATCTCCTAGTAATCCAAGTATCTAAGGCTACCAGTGCCTCGAGCGGAGATGCACACACACCATTCACTCCCTAAGTGCCAAGGATGCTCTTCCCTGCACAGTGCACAAGACTTTGTGATCACATCTCTGGGATTTCCAAATAGAGCAAGAACTCTTCTCCTATCTGGAAGCAGCACAGGTGGGTTTAGAAAGAGCCTCTCTCTGAGCAATTAGATGAAACCTGAGTGCCTTGGGGAAGATCCATATTGTTCCCTGGTGTCTACGAGAAGAGAATGAAGGACTCGTTGCTTTCTAATTGCACCCTGCTGTTTGGTTACCACACGTTTCTCTGTGTCTCCCTCTCCCAGTCTTTGCGCAGGGTGATAACTGTGCTCCTGACTCGATCCCTGTCTCTGTGCCTGTCACACACTATCAGGCGCAAGGATCTGGAGCTAGCTCCTTTCCCTTTATCAGCAGCACTTTCCCAGCTGGCTGTCTCGCAGAGCAGCGCCCAGTAGCAACACTTTCACCGATGCTCTTAAAGAGACAGTGTCACCTTTCTTTCCCTCCCTTCCATCAATCTTTTTAAAGCCATATAATAAATAAATAAATATTGTGCACTTTGTTGTATTTTCCCCACACACAAAGAGCAACTATAGACTTTCAGCCTCCATACATAAGAGATGATTTAACCCATTTTGGTTGACATTTTCCAACCAGCTCTATTGTCCAGATGGAGTAAGAGACACAGAAGGGAAGAAACTTACCCAAGGTCACATAGCAAATCAATGGCAGCTCCAAGACTGGAATCCAGCTCTTGCAATGCCCAGCTCTGCTCTAACCATTAGACATTGCTGCCTCTGAATGTCCCCTTTCTTTCTGCTATTTTCAATGATGCTCTTAAGGTTACAGTAGCCCCTTGCTTCCTGTCACTTTCATTGACATCCAGAACCCTCTCAGGCTCCTGGTATATCCACTGGTAGGTGCCTCGAGAGGTTTGAAATGTCGAAAGGGAACATAATCACATGTTTAATTTAATGGAAAGGAAACCAATTGTACAGGGCAAAGCATTTAATAATGGACCAAAGACTTTTCAACTGTGGCAGATGCCTTCAAAGTATATTCCAAGTAAAAGCTCTCCTCTTAAAATGGCCTAGTAACTCAGACGGCAGTGAGGCAAGTGTAGAGAAAGGAAACAATCTGGCAGACCTGGGTTAAGGAGCCCCTCGACAGAAAGATACTGTGGACAGATAGCAGAATAATCATTTCAGGTGGGGGTTTCAAAAGTGCCTGAGTGACATAGGAGCATGTGTCTCATTGAAAGTCATTGCAGTCTGCTCTGAAATTACAAACACGCAGCTATTAATGAGATTTACCTTGAGAAGAAGACATTCTGAAGGCCAGGGAGCCTGCACAGTACCTTCAGTATGGGCTGTAAGTGTTTATAGCCAATGATGATACATCATTCCTCAAGAGCATTAATGTTTGTTCCTAGAAGGGGGAATATGTTAAACACAACAATATTGCATCCTCACTTCCATCCCACCACTCTTGTCTTCTCACTATCTCTTCTGAAGGGCCAGTTCTCTGCTGCTGTAACACCTTTGACTTCAGTGGAGTCAGAATTTGGCCCTTAGGTTGTAAGATCTTCTGGGGGTATCACAATTGTCTTTATGTTTCATAAACCTCAGCACATTCTCAGAGCTCAACAATGCAATAACCACCTAGTTCAGTATGGTTATTCCAGGGGGGTGCAGACAGCAGTTTGTAGAGCACAAGTCTTGGAATTATTGGTGACCAGGTCAGGTAAGATGGGATGCGGAGCATATCAGATTCACCTCCTAAGGCCTGGGAACTATAAGACAGATAGAGAAGAAAGCTACAAATATTGTTGATGATCATGTTACAGCTATATTCATCCCTTTGTTGTACAACATAACTACCCTGAACTTCACAGAAGCTTCAGGCTAGAACTTAGCACAGATGGTAGGGGCTGTTGCTAGAGGAGAACCACCCTTAGGCATTAGCCATGTAGGGTTTATGTCAACCAGGGGAGCTGTTCCAGTTCTGTCCCATAGGAGGCTGTGATCTCTCTCACGCTCTCACACAAAAGGTAGCACATTACATATACAAACATATATATTATATATATAAATAAATTGTATTTTGTCTTACTCTTGAATATCCCTTTATTCAGTAAGTGGAGCTGATTGGGCTGTTGTGGGGCTTTTCTTGAAGTGAAGGCATTAGCAAAAGCCTTAGGTGAAGGAATATCATACCCCAGGACCTGGCTGCAGACCACACACCTGTTAATCATTATTAACCTTTTTTTTTAATCAACTAAATTAAATTCTTTCAGGATTCCTCCCCCATGATGAGAGATTTGCCTGTATCACAAGAGGCTGCCATCAGTTTCAGATACAATTTTCTGCTGCCATCCTCATGGCTGGAGGTAGATTGCTTGAGTGACTTATCCACTTGTGGTGGTTGTCAGTTGGTGGTGTGTGTGTGTGTGTGTGTGTTCTCTCCGTGTGCTGACCCAGCTCTGCAGACCTCGATATTATTACCCAGAAAGACCAGACTCGGTTCGGTGGTGAAGGCGCTCGGCCATCTCTACTGTTGACGAAGACCAGTACTAGTGCCCTGGCTCAATGGTTACAGGGCATGTACGCCCGTGACAATGGACTAGCTCAGTTAGCAGCAGGACTTTCTGCTGCCTCTTAGGCCAGACAAAGATGTCCCTCTTGTGATTTCTCTTTTATATATTGATACAAACAAGTTATGTATTACCCTATTAGTTAGTTACCACCCAACACCTTGTACCAGCTGGTTCGAACAAAACATCTCCATCCATTATCCAGTCCAGGGCCAGCTCCAGGGTTTTGGCCACCCCAAGCAGACCAAAAAAAAAAAAAAAAAAAGACCGCGATTGCGATCTGCGGTGGCAATTCGGCGGAAGGTCCTTCGCTCCAAGTGGGAGTGAGGGACCGTCCGCCCAATTGCCGCCGAATAGCTGGACCTGCCGCCCCTCTCCGGAGTGGCCGCCCCAAGCACCTGCTTGCCAAGCTGGTGCCTGGAGCCGGCCCTGATCCTGAGCTTATCTTAAGATGGATCAGTGTGTCCCTGTACCATTTTTAAGGAGGGTGTTTATACCATAACTCCACATTGGGGTAGGCCTGTCCTAACCTTCTGGAATGTTTTTACATGAATACCCAGTGCCTAGTGCTTCTTAGGCGTGCCTGTGATTTAGCAACACTAGCAATACTATTGTCAAGCTCATGTATCAGACAGTGAACTTGTAAGCATCTGCTTTGACACAGGGCCTGACTTTGGTTCAGGCCTCAGGTCTTGCACCAGGCCCAGTGCTCCAGGCTCTCTCTCTCTCTACTACAGTGGTTAGCGGGATTCTAGGCAGCCAATCATGGGCAAAGCTTGTACTGTGCTCATGGACAGCAGGTATAATAGGCATGGGGAGGCTAAGCCTCCCCTGGCACAGCCATCGCCTCCCCTGCCACCAGACATCTGGGCCGTGGTGGCCCCGCCTCTTCCCCTCCTCCCTGCTGGGAGTGGGCTTCTGCTGGAAGTTTTTGCTTATTTATTATGCGCCATGCAGGCTCCCGGGCGGCTGAGGAGGCGGTATCTGCTACTCAACTTCCCAGGTCCCTTGGACTCCCCAGGAAGATTACCAATGAACCTGGGAAGCTGAGTAGCAGATATTGCCTCCTCAGCCACCTGAGAACTAGCATGGCGCATATAAAAGTTCAGCTTTCTCTGCCCGCCACTGACTGGCTGCTCCTCTTTAGCACTCCACTCCCCTCTCTGGAGGTCCCCACCACCGCTCACCAAGTGTGTCCCTCCTCTCCTTCCCCACCTCCCCGCTTGCCCACCCCTCTGCTTGAGTGGGGAGACGGGGGAAGGAGAGGAAGGAAACACGTGGTGAGCAGTGGCGGGGGCTGAGTGGGAAGGAGGGAGGAAGGAGAGGTGGGACGCACGCGGTGAGCAGTAGGAGGGGGACTGAGTGGAAAGGAGGGGGAAGGAGAGGAAGGAAACACACGGTGAGCGGTAGCAGGAGGGCTGAGCAGGGAGGAGAGGTGGGACACGCGGTGAGGGTGGGGGGGCTGAGCAGGAAGGAGGGGGGAAGGAGAGGTGGTTGTAGTTACAGAGAATCCACCATTTACACTAGTTTAAACCTGCAAGTGACCTATGCCCCATGCTGCAGAGGAAGGCAAAAAGAACCCAGGGTCTCAGCCAATCTGCCTTGAGAGAAAATTCCTTCCTGACCTCAGATATGGTGAACAGTTAGACCCTGAGCATGTTGGCAAGGCCCACCAGAAAGATACCTGGGAAATAGTTCTCTGTAGTAACTCAGAGCCCTCCACATCTAGTGTCCCGTCTCCAGTAGTTGGGGATTTGGGGACAGAAGGTCCTGTCCATTTGCTGGATAAGCCTATTTATCCGAAGTCCTTCCTTTGTCTGTTGGCCTCTGGAGAATTCAGTTTCAACCAGTATAGACAAGCCTCTTCAGCACAGGTGTTGGGGGTACTGCAGCACCCCCTGGGATGAAGTGGTTTCCATCATATACAGGACTTACAGTTTGGTTCAGTGGCTTTCAGCACCCCTATATACAAATTGTTCCAGCGCCCCTGCTCTTCAAGAGGTATTACCATTCTGAAGGTGTTACAACTTGAATGAATTTGCCTCATCACCCCGCAGCATTCTTAGTTCCTGGAGAGGCTGTGGTCCTCCGTGGAATTATATACAATCCTTGGTCCACAACGATACATAAACTTAATATAGTAAGATGACCCACAGATATAGCAGGAAATTGGTATATCTGTCACAATGATTTCTTTCCTTCTTCCAGTGGCATCTCTGGAGATACAAAGTAACTTTCTTATTTCCCCCAGCTTTACATGGCTACCTTTGAGACCCCATATTGCCTTCCAGAGACTGGGCAAGATTACCCAGAAGAATGGTTCATCATACAGGGAGATGGTCTAGTGATCTGAACAAGAGTACAACCCCAGCAACCCAGTACTAATAATAGCTCAGATATTGGCCTAGCTGCTAGGATTTAAGGGTCCCAGTTGGACTCCCAGATCTTTGCCACTGAGATTTGAGATGGTAAAACAGATTCCATGCCATCAACGTGCACGGCTCTGCATGGACCAAGGGGAACCTTAGTCTTGCCCAGGCAAGGAGCTGATAATCATAGAATATCAGGGTTGGAAGGGACCTCAGGAGATCATCTAGTCCAACCCCTGCTCAAAGCAGGACAATCTAATCAAACAAACCAATTCAAGCAAACAATGCACTTTGGGGAGCTGAAGGAGGAAGCAGGTTGGTGCAGAGGGTCTTTTACATTGATACAAACACCACTTGGCATTAATAAAAAATGGGACGTTTGAAACAAGTGTTGTAGAGAGGAGGATGCAAGATGCACTGGGGCAGGGATAGAGTTGCTGACATCAAGGCGCACTTTG